CCATTCTTTAGTTAGCATGCGCACTGCCTTTGCACTCGGTAAGATAATTAATAATTCGCTTCAAAAGTATAGCTTTCACATCTTCTGACTTGCATGATGGTATGCACTCATCGCGTAGATACTCTGCAGGCTCTGTATGGCCTGGATGAGATTGTAGTATAAGCTGCACCACTTCTTCTTTGACCTCCGTCATTTCGATAAATTGACGAAAAATCGTAACGATGGGCCGCGAATCGCTGGGGTCAAAACATCCATAATAAATCATTGCCTCAAGAGTGTTCTTGTCAAGACTATTCGATGCAATGAGAAAAAGACCTTTGAGATGATGCCGTTGGATCGTTGCGGGTACATTTTTGAGGTACCCAAACACTTCCTTGAATGGGATACATCGTTTGTACAGAATCGCTGTTCCGATAAGAGTAGCGAGTTGATCGTCGCTGGCGATCTTCGCGAAGCGCACGATCGTATTGTTATCCCACTCAAAGGTTATCAAGTTGACGTAGATACCCTCATCGACACCAGAGCTTTTAAACTTTTGAGAGTCCATTAAGCGTTTGAGCTTGCTTAGATTCTTAGTACGAAGGGATTCGTGCAGATTGAAGTTAAACTCTTTCATAACTGATTAAAATGAATCTATATATTAACCTGTGTAATTTTATTGTTCGCGTTATTTTCTTAAGAGAAATAAGAATAACCGAAAAAGAATATTACTTACCGAATTGAATCTAAACGAAGATCCAAAGTTTAAAAATCTAAGCCGCACGATCCAGAGGGACAAAGAGGCCCTTTCTTAATTACCCTATCCCTAGGTAGAGATCAGGATATTGTCTTATTTGCAGTGCGCCTCCCGCGTTCCACAGAAAGCGGTAATCGTGCTTCACAACATCTTATTCGATGACCGCTTCACTTTTTTCGGGATGCGGGATTGAAAAGTTTCATTACACCACATTTGTTTTACTTTTCGTAAGACTTAAAACTCCGAGCTACAGTAATTAATCAAGATCCTGGAAAGTATCGCGGGTAAGGACGCGATAACGGGGCCGTATTTTGCTGTATTTTCGTACAAATCGAAGAGCGGCACCGCAACCAACTCGATATCCGGCGCGACGTAAAAATCGCTCATTGACTTCAGGTGAACTAAAAAAATTGTCCGCACTTCCTTCACATCGCTGGTGGCGATATGCGAGGGGATGTAGGGGTACATGAGTGGGCTAAAGTGCGGCCGGTACCACTTCGCGAGGACCTCGCCGATGCGAAAAAGGCCCGCTGCCTTCGAGGACTGCGCGGAGCCGGTGACCTCAACGACGGTTTCGGACGGGGGGGCGATCCCCACTTCCCCGGAGAGAGTCTTCGCCTCGTTCAGCAGCAGACGGCCGAGTTTGCGCAGCAGACAGGCCTCGTCGCCCTCGCCGCGGCGGCAGCGCCCACCGGGAAGGCGAAAGTGCACGGTCCCGCCGCCCCCTCCCCCGTCGGCCTTTCCCCCCCCCTGCGGGGCCGTGGCCGTGCTGAGGACGCGCCCCCCCCCGGCATCCCGATTCCGCGTGATAGTCTGCTTGAGAAGGATGATGTGGGGGTGGCGATGGAGGTGGGCGAGGAGGACCCCCTCCACCGACGCCACGCAGGGCTCTTCCTGGCAGCGTGCCTTGAGGCTCATTAGCTTTTCTAAGGGTGTCTTGCGCCGCGGCGGACGATTCCCTTGCCCTGTCGTGCCGCGGGCCCCGAGGTTAGGGTTCACCACAGCACCGGCCCTTTTGTCCGGATTGGTCGAGGACTGAATGTAATTTTCGACGGGATAAACATCTAATTTAGGCTTCAGGGACATCCCCTACGCGATGTGGATGAGATTTTGGTAATCGGATTCGCGTGTACGGCAGGTCTGTCCGCACTCTCAGAATCATTTCAAAAAAAAAAAGTGGAATAGGTGAAGGAGAAACGAATTAAAAAATCAAAGAAACAATATTCAAAGGGAAGAGACCAAACATCGAAGCTTGGAATGATTTATGACGATTTTTTGAGAAAACTGTGATTTATTTTCTTTTGCTTTGGTGTCATTTTGCCGTTTCTAGACACCACTGCGCATTTACTCACACCAAAGTTTTCCCGGCGCTATTGGATTAGCTAAGCTGTTCATCATAAGAAATTTGCACATTCATAAATGTTAGTACAAGAAAATAAGTGAAGCTAACCCAAAGACATTTCGAAATACAAAATCAGTTTTTTTTTTGAATAGAAAAGATCGCCTCCCTTAAAGAAATCATTTCAAACCTAGTTTAGGGGCTTAGTTATACCTTTCAAGTCAGGATTAGAAGAGTTTTGGAGCAAGCTAAGGAATTTGTTAATGTGGGACCGTGTAGCTCTAGAAACCTTTCCCATCATTTCCAGCTCGATTTGATCAACTTCTTTTGAGAGGTTCACCAACTCCGCAACGCGGTGTATACCCACGATACGAATCCTCACAACAGTCTCAAGCGGAATCTTTATCCGATATGCATTTTGCGGTGCCACCACCTGTGTATCCTTCGTAACGAAGAAGGCGTGCAACCCCTGCAGAAGCGTCAAATGCGAGACCACGAGAACGGGAGTTGAGCTCGCTTGGATGTCATGGATATGGGGCTCTAAACGGGTATTGAAAACATGTTGAATGCACTCTCCATTGGGCCAGGGTGTGTTATAGGAATCTGCCTTAATCGACTGAAGTGTGGATAACATCGTCTTAGAAATATCAGTTAGCAGTTGACCGTCGCAGTCGCCATAGCTAATGTCTTCTAGAGTGGGAATGTAGTTCACGTTGCAGTTGAGCTTCACTGCCGCAGCCTCCCCTGGTTTGGAAGTGCAAGAGTTAGACATTTGTTTGGCGCTCTCCTCGGCAAAGTAACGAACTGTTTGCATGCACCGTATAGAGGAACTCGACATCACCTGAAAGGGATTTGAAGCACCGACTTCCTCCTTGAAGAAATTAAAGAGTGCGATACTGTAGGCGACCCCTCGATCCGTTAGCTCAGAGTTTCCACCGATACGACCGGAAATCAAATTGACGTGTTCACCCGCACGTGTCAAGTACACATTCTGCTGAGACTGGTTGAAGTTGTGAAGCATATACGCAAGTCGAGACGGCATCCAACCCGAAATCATGTTGAGAGAGTATATATTGTTTTCCTGGATTTGGATGTACGAAAGCTCCGTATCGCGGATAGGATTGAGGGTTTCATATATCGATTCGTGTCGTGCGATGTTCTCGTAATAGCGCTGTTCAAAATTTTCTGGCGGATCCACATGCATCTCCCGAGCCCGTAAGATATTTCTGCTAATCGTCTTTTTGTCATTGCTAACAATCTCGACAAAAACAATGCGGTTTGATTTGATACTCAGATGCTCGTTAAGAGCGCGTAATATCGCCTGGCGCCGGGAGTTCGTTGAGTTTGTCCCATCCAAAATAGCCACACGATCTGTATTTGATATAAATGCTACGATGTCAGTTGCGATTTCAATAATGATCTTGTTCGCAATATCTGCTTGCATCAGCGGCTCACTAACACCCCCACTGGCGGCCTCCTCAGCCGGCCTGTATTTCTGCAAGTGGTTGCGTTGGTACGATTGATGGGAGAAAATCTTACACTTCAGTCCATTCCACTGAAAGTAGCAGCATATTTGCTGCCCCACATAGCTCTTGCCTCGTCCGGGAAGCCCCACCATGATGATGATGAGTGACCCCACCATGGGCTGAGGGACGGAGGAAAAGGGCAGGGAAAGCAGTGAATTGGGACTGGAGTGGTCCATGCTTGCGCTCGCCTGCTCAATGGTGGGGTCAAAGGTGGCCTCGATCGTCTGCTCGATCGGGATGATGTGCGCCGACAGCATCTGGGCCAACTCCACGAATCCGTTATCCTCGGCCACGTCAGGGGCAGTGCAGCCCCTTTGATCAACCGCGGCGGGGTCCGCACCGAGCT